GCAAAGAATGATACAAATCATAGAGCCAATTGATCTACCAAAGCTCTCCCATGAAAAAAGAAGATCAAGAAAGAAGGTTGGGAAAGATTCCTGGAATTAGACAATCACAGCAGAGTACTTTATTTGTACAAATGTTGCTGAAGCTGTAGCTGCATTTTAGTCATCTGATGAAACTTTTCCAAATTCGTTAGTTCTGTATGTTCTGTTTTCATGATCTGAAAACTCACTACATAAGCACCACATTGTTAAATTCAGTAGAGATTATTACTTGTGGAGTCCTGACTCAAGATCGGTCCGGATTTTATGAGGGTATACAGTAAATACATAGCAAATACATAGTGTTTATAAATATTGTGTATTTGCTATGTATGACTCAAGATCGGTCCGGACGGTCCGGACTCCGCACGTAATAATTTCTCCTGAATCCGAGAAATTATTCTGTGCGGACGCCGAATGCAGTTCACCGTCCGGAGACCAACCAGAATGCGTCACGTCAACAGTACCGAGTCAGGTACTTAGCGGTATCGAGCCACGATACTGAGTTGGGTACCGAGCAGAAGGTGGCGTGGTGCATTCTGATTGGTCTCTAGACGGCATTCAGCATCCGCACAGAAGAAGCATCATTTTGGATGGTGGGTGAAGCTATACGTACATATTAGAGATTAGAACTGATTCATGTGATTCTTTTTTCCATCTTCTGTTAGTGTCGTATATGCGTGCTACTTCTGTATTTGTATCAGTGACACTTTACAGTAAAACTGACATCTTTTTTTCTTTTTCAAAAGCTTGTGTTCAATGAAATTAATATGTGCTCTGTGGATTTCATCTAACTCAATTTTCCTCTTTTTTTTTCCTGTAATGACAGCACAGATAGAAATTGTAGTATTATATGAGTAAAATGACATTTCTTTTGTACAGAGAGCTAAGATCCAAAAATATCTGTGATAATTTTGCAAGGAATGAAGCATTAATGACCGACTGACTTGCAAAAGAAATAATATATAAAAGGAAAGTGACAATTTTTTTTTCAAAATAAGTTCCAATAGCCTCATTCAAAATAAAAATTTGAGCATCCATTAGAAATTTTCACTTGATTAAAGCATCAAATTTGAGATGGCCTGCTGTGACATTGAATATATCATTTAAACTATCATTTCATTTAATCAATTTTAATGATTTGGCGACGGAGGTTGAAAGGACCGACAATAGTTTGTGGTTGAGTATAAGTCCAGCGATAATTGGTGGTCGGGCGAAAGTTTGATGAAAGTCGATTGTCAGACTATGGTCGAGGAATAGCTTTGTGGCAAGAGATATATGATATCTCATTTACTCTTCCCCCCCATTTGCACTTGATTAAAGTATCAAATTTGAGATGGCCTGCTTTGACATTGAATATATCATTTAATCAAATTTAATGATATGGATTTCAAGTATTATTTTAAATATTTATTATGTTATACATATTGTGGAATATGTGAATAACTATTATGATTTAAAATGGCAGGTATATGACACAGTATACAAGAGGATGGCCAGATAAACTTTTTCTTAAATAAGTTGGTGAAGTATCACTTGATAAAAGCATCATTCTAAAATGATTTCCTTGGCCATAATTATACTATATATACTGTCTATACATGCATAATAGGATAAGGATTTATTTATTTACTTTTTTGATAAACTGATTACTCTCATATCTATTTTGTTTTATTTTTATGCAATGAATATAGTTGTAGGTTTCGTGCAACATATTAGGTTATTACTTACTAACTTATCTTTTTATTATTGTTGTGTTCTCAAATATTTGCAGCAATAGAGAAATATAAAATTTAATGTTTTAGCTTTGTACGAAGATCCAGCACACAACCATATAAAAGAGAGAGTGTAGCGTTCATAAAGACACCGGAGTTCTTACGTGAAAACCCTGAAAAGAAGAAAAAACTACGGGGCATGACCCAGTTTGAATGAATCTAATAGTGTTTACAACTAATTACAAATGAGCACTGGCCCTAGAGAGATTATTTTGTGCGGACACACTGCTTGGTATCGGGCGCATCACATTTTTTGATGACATTACACAATTTTATTGGTCTGTGGACGATGTCCGGACTCCGCACAGAATAATTTATTCGGATTTGGGGGCTGTGGGGGAACGTCCATAGTTTTTACATGAAAACCCCTGAAAAGAAGAAAAAATTACGGGGCATGACCCAATTTGAATGAATATACTAGTGTTTACAACTAATTACAAATGAGCACTGGCCCTAGAGAGATTATTTTGTGCGGACACACTGCTTGGTATCGGGCGCAGCACATTTTTTGATGACATTACACAATTTTATTGGTCTGTGGACGATGACCGGACTCCGCACTGAATAATTTATTCGGATTCGGATTTGGGGGCTGTGGGGTAACGTCCCCCCCCCCCCCTCTTAAGATAAAATTTTGATGATATATCAATTATATTTATATACTTTAGGGTTGGGCACCCCAATGGAGTGTGGTCATTATATCACTGTTGGAATTATTGTTTATTATGATAAATGATTTTTTTATGTAATCATGCGATTTTTCTTTATAAACTTATTATAAAATTATGATTATTATATATAATTGTTGCGTCATGGAGTATTCGCGGCGGTAGAGAAATATAAAGTTTAGCATATTAGCGTTGTACGAAGATCCAACATACAAGCAAATAAGAGAGACGGTGTAGCGTTCATAAGAGACACTAGAGTTTTTACATGGAAATCCCTGTAAAGGGGGAAAAACCACGGTGTCTGGCCAAGTTTGATTGAATCCACTAGTATTTAAAGTCGATTACAATTGAGGCCCTTCTTAGAGAGAAGGCCTTGGCTTGGTGTCACAAATGTACATCATATAAAGCGCATTACATGGTGGGAGTTACAATAATCAACATAGACATGCTTGTTTGGTAGGCAGGACCATAATTGATAGGATAGAGGTCAGAAAGACCGTAGTAGGCAGGAGATCGGGGTCAGAAAGATCATTGTTTGGGGATGTAGGTCGGAAGGACCATAGTATGCAGGAGACCGGGGTCAGAAAGACCATTGTCTGGTGGTGGCCCGACAGAAGTCCGGGCTTCAAGTGATGGTTTGGAAGAAGTATGGGCCTCAGGTGGTGGTCCGACAGAAGTCCGGGCCTCAGGTGGTGTTCCGGCGGAAGTTCGGGCCTCAGGTGGTGGTCCGGTAGAAGTTCGGGCCTCATGTGGTGGTCCAGCAGAAGTTCGGGCCTTAGTTGGTGTTCCGGCGAAGCTCAGGTCCTTAGGTGGTGGTCTGGAGGAACTCCGGTGTCAGGCGATGGGCGAAGATGAGGCCCTCATGTGGTGATCCGGCGGAAGTCCGGTGTCAAGCGGTGGTTCGGCGGAGCTCAGGCCCTCAGGTGGTGGCCCGACGGAACTCTGATGCCACGCGGTGGTTCAATGGAGTTCAGGCCCTCAGGTGGTGGTCCGGCATCATACGGTGTTTCGGGCTCAGGCCCTCAGGTGGTGGTCCGGCGAAGCTCAGGGCGACAGGGCATCGAGTGGTGGTTCGGCGGAACTCCGACGGTGGTCGAGGAGAAGCGATGAGGTAAGAGCGATCTCCGGTCTCTCTCTTACTCTCTTGGAGCCCCCTTTTAAGAGAGAGAAGGGGTATATTTATAGATTTTGTAGAGTGGCATGACCCGTAAATATAAGAAGTATCAAGGGTAAATGGGGAGTAGTTTGGATGTACGGCCGATGTTGAATCCCTTAATCGTAGACTATTCGTCAAACATTTGAAGGTCTTAATGATGTCGGAATTTCGTGATCTTGGACTCGTTGGATTCGTCTTGTCTAGCCGCTCTATTCAACTATAAGAATGTCATGTTTGAAAATCGTTTGGTAATCCAAATTGTGGTTTGAACCTTCCGATAGTGCTTCCGGTCTTCGATTCAGACCCATTTGGGCTCGGATTGAGTTGAATTTGGTGTCGATAGGTTTGTATTTCTGAGATGTTCAATTTGAATGTAAGTTTACTGGAATCGGAGTTGGGATGATCTACAAATTAATTTTTTGAAATTTCTAACTTGATTTTGCTTTGAGATTCGTGCCCAATTAAGATAATTTTCATGATATATCTATAATTATTTTGGATTTGTGTATATATATGTATATATAAAATACTTGTATGCACTCATAAAAAAATTTATGTTCATTTTAAATAATATTTACTTAAATAAATATAAAAATCATTTAAATTAAACATTAATTAACCATCAAATATAGCTAGCATACATTAATTTATCAGCCTTAGCAATGATTTTTAATTAGGGGTGTAAATGTGTCAAAATGACTAGTGAGCGAGCTCAATGAGCTAACATGCAAGCTTGAATAGCTAACATGTCAAACTTGAGCCAAATCTAACTCCATTCTTAGTTCACAAACTACCTCATTAAAAAAATATGAAAATAAAATATACTTAAGATATATTATTATTCAAAATTTTGAATACAATGTTAATAAAAATGTTTCTAATTTATATCTCATTTTTATATTAATTGATTTTCTTACCCTTTTTTGAATTTCTCTTTTTATTATATTACTTACTTGAATTATAAATATTTACTATCATTTAAACTAAACGAACCGGCTCATGAGCCCTCAAACACTTCAAAAAATGCTAGAGCTAGAACTCGAACTCCATTGCACCCATATTTCTTTATGATTCTCTTATATATATATTTTAAGTTTTATCTAAGTTTTAAAAATTCCGCTTAAGTTTTAAAAATCCTGTCTAATTTTTCAAATTTTTAAAAACCTCGAGCCCGTTTACAGTTAAACGAGCTCGAGCTCACTTTCCATGTAACGAGCCGAGTTCGATAAGGATCTAAACTCGACCCGACTCGACTCATTTACATCCCTTCTCCACATAATGTGCCCGCACAGAATAATTTTTTCATTCAAACACATAAAAGAGTGCTATAATAAAATAGTATTATTGGTAGTCGTGTCTCGCAAGGAATGGCCTCGATCTTATCTTTTCACATGGCATGCGTTCAATCACGCCCTCCCGTTCCCATGTCCCGCAGGAACTCCTTAAACTGCGACCCACCATTCAAAATCCAACTTACTCAGTCGGCGCAACATACCCTTTCCCTCCCTATATAATCGTCGTAAGATCTGATGGCAGCAGTACCGGAGAAGCAACAATAATGGACGGCGGCAAGAAGGGCTCGAAGAGTCAAGCGAAGGCGGCCGATGAACGTAAGGATCGGCGATCGGCGACGGGGATAAGCGGCGAGCCGAAGAAGGGTGGGTATGGCGGCAAGTTCACCTGGTCCGGCGACAAGCGCTTCTCTGACGAGGTAATGGTTAAGGGAGCGATCGATGCAAAGGATCCGAACTTTGAGGATTAGGAAGAGGAAGAAGGCGTCTCTTCTGTTTGATTGATGGATCTATGCTCATTTCTGTATGAATAATAATAGTATTGATCCGTTGATGTTTATGGAATGGGGATAGAATTTCACTAATTTTAATATGGATTTGTAAATATTCATAATTTCCGATTTCGACTTCTCATTTATGTTTTATTCGATTTCGAAAATATAAATCTGGAAAATTATAAGAAAATTTAAAAAGATTAGGGTTAGTTAATTCGCTTCCGTTTGGTATTTGTTTTTTTTCTTAAGAATCAATGATTTTGATTATACAAAATCATTAATTTGATCTTTTAATTCTTTAAATAGGAGTTAAATTAATCTTTCTCATGAGATCATTTACATTTCTATTTAAAAAAAGTAAGAGATTAAAATTAAATTTCAAAATAAGCAGAGATTATTTTGATCTTATCACACAATTTATAATCAATAAACATCATTAGCACTCATTTAAATAATAGGTTGCAAGCTAATATCTTAATATTTCATGATGGAATGATCGGATCCTACAACTAGCTAATTTATTAATTTTTATGTAAGGTTTTTATATAGTCAAATCACTAATAACAAAATCAGAATCATCATTGTTTCATAATTGGTGGCATAGACAATTCTGAAATGTGATTGGGCATGTATTGTACTTATAGCCCTAATTGGTGAGTTACCAATAGAGTTGTAATAATTAATAATTTATTAATTATTATAGCAAGTTCTATAATAAAATATTAACAAATTAATGCATTTAGCCTATAAAAATTTATTATTTAATTAAAAAATGTTATACTTATATGATTAGAATAATTTGGAATTTTCATTTGTTGCATGGAAGAAATATTCGCGGGGGATAAAATTAGGAAGTTTATTGTTTAAGCGTGAAGATCTATCACATATCTAGATGAATAAAGAGTTACAATAGACATTATAATTTTAGATGATAATTTTTTAAAGAGGAAAATAAAGAGAGTTGGCCTAATTGAAATGACTTTATTATAATATATTATTGAGGGCAACTTATAAAAAAGAGTGGGTTTTAAATTTAAATTAGTTTACAGAACAGATTTAGAAAAAAATTTAAAACTGAGCAAAACTTAGTTTTCCAGTTTCAATAGAAATCGGAATTTCATTAATCATTTCTACTTTGATCATAACTTTAAAAAAAACCGGAACTTAAAATTATGGTTTCTTAAGAAATTTGATTAGAAAATTATGATTTCTTAAGAAACCCGAACTTCTAAATCTGTTTGTTAAGAAATTGGATTTTCAAGTCACGGTTTCTATTAAGAATAAATTCTTAGTTTTATTTCCAAGTTCTATTTCCTAAGAATCCGAAAAGAATATAAGGCTTAATTAGAAAGGAGTCTTAATGTATTAACTTTTAGAAACCTGTTATTGAACGAAAAATTAACTTGATCGGGCACGAATCTCGAGGCAGAATCAAGTTGGAAACTTCCAAAATCAATTCAGAGATCGTCTCAACCCCGATTTCAGCGAACTTACAGTTGAATTGATCGTCTTGGAAATACGAACCCAACGATACCAAATTCAACTCAATCCGAGCCCAAATGAGTTCGAATCGAAGACCCGAAGCGTTGTTGGAAGGTTCAAACCACAATTTGGATTACCAAACTATTTCAAAACATGACATGCTTAAAGTCAAATCGAGTGGCTCGACGAGACGAATCCAACGAGGCCAAGATCATCAAATTCCGATATCATTAAGACATTCAAATGTCTGACGAACGGTCCACAATTAAGGGATTTAATATCGGCCATCCAAGCAAACCACTCCACATTTGTCCTTGATCCTCCCTTATTTATGGGTCATGCCACTCTCAAAAAACTATAAATGGCTCCTCTTTTCTCTTAAGGGGGGACTCCAAGCAAGAAGAGAGGGGAATAGAAGAAGAGAATGAGAGAAGAAGCTCCTTCTCAACTACCGCCGGAGTTCCGCTCGACTTCCAATTGACGTCGGTGTTCCGACCCACTTTAAAGTGACGTTGGAGTTCTGCCCGACTTTCAAGTGATGTTGGAGTTCTGTCCGATCTTCAAGTGACTCTGGAGTTTTACTCGAATACCATATAACATCATAGTTCTCTCTGGCCACCGACTAACGTCAGACTTCTACCCGATGTCAAATTTCTGTCAGTTATCGGATTTTCACCGGACATCTATCTGATGTTGGATTTCTATCCATTGTTGGATTTCTACGCGACGTCGGACCTCCGCTCGTCGCCAGATTTCTACCTGAAGCTGGATTTTTGTCCATTGTTAGATTTTCGTCGGATATCTATCCGATGTTGTATTTCTGTCCATTGATGGACTTATACCTTACGTCATCATTCTGACCTCCGTCGTCAGACGAGAGTCCTTCCGACCTCTGTCACCTGTCGACTACGGTCGTTCCGACTTACGTGGCCCATCGACTACGGTGCTTCCGACCGAACAAACATGTCAACAATGACTCTTTGTATTCCCATCATGTACTTCATACTATGTACATCAAGCCAATGCCTTCCCCTAAGGAAGGGTCTCATTTGTAATTGACTGCGACTAATAGTGGATTCATTCAAACTGGGTTATGCCCCGTGATTTTCCCCCTTTTCAGAAGTTTTTCACGTAAAATCCTTAGTGTCTCATATGAATGCTACACCCTCTCTCCTATCTGATTGCGTGTTGGATCTTCATACAAAGTTAAAACATTAAATTTTATATTTCTCTACCGCCGCGAATAAACTAGGACGCAACAATTACATAAGTTTATATTAAGAAATTTTAAACTTTAATATAAAGTTATACTGTTATAACTTTATATTATTATTTTTATAATAAATTATTAAATTATTATTAAATTACTATTATTAGTATAACTTATAAATTATTATTAAATAAATATTATTTTTTAGTTACAACTTATTATTATATTTTAGTTTAAAATTAAAAGTTCTATAATTAAAAATAAAAAATTTAAAAAGTTATATAACATTTAATTTCATAAATATTTGATAAAAATTGAAATTTTATCTTCAAAAATATACTATCATTAAAAAATAAGCAACTTCTACCGGATCACCACCTAAGGCTCGGATTTCTGCTAAACCATCACTTGAGGCCTTAACTTCAGCCGGACCACCACCTGAGGCCCGGACTTCTACCGAACCATGACATGAGGCCCTAACTTCTACCAGATGATCAGATGAGGCCCTGACTTCTGTCGGACGACCACCTGAGGCCTTGGAGTTTTGTTGGACTAGTAATTAACATCCGAATTTCTAAGTCACGACAGCCTTCTGTCAAACCACCAAGTAACACTGCACTATCATCCCCAGTCAGTCATCATTAGATTTCAACTTTACAATCGACATTTGTAATCTGATCGGCTTTAAGGACGAGTCAGCCCGCTATAATCTACTCGAGTTCTAGTGGAATTATTCTCATCTAGGTCAGGCCCCGTGGTTTTTTCTCTTTCCAGGATTTTCTACATAAAAAACTTTGTGTTCTCTGTGTGCGAACTGAATATCCGTGCAATTCTAAGACGTAGGTCTCTAACTCTATCATTGCGTATATTTTAGCCAGTAACAAAGTTACATAACAGTTTTTTAAAAGTTAATATGTTAAAGCTCCTTTTTAATTAAGCCTCATATTCTTAAAATATCAAACATGGAAATAAAATTAACAAAATATTCTTAATATAAACTGTAAATTTAAAATATGGTTTCTTAAGAAACTGAATTAAGAAGTTCCGATTTCTTGAGAAACCAAAATTTTTAAATATGGTTTCTTAAGAAACCGTAATTTCAAGTTCAATTTCTTTTAAAACTATGATCAAAGTAAAAACTGGATAATGAAGTTCTGAATTCTATTGAAACTGGAAAATTAAGTTTCGTATTTACTATTTTTAAAATTTTTTTCTTAATCTGCTTAAGATCTACTCCTTAAGCTAAATAAAATTTAAAACCCGCTCCTTTTTATAAAATGCCCTATTATTGAATACAAATAATATACTGTGACGCCCCAAGATCTAATTTGGAAAGAATTTCAGTCAATCCATTAAAATCATCAATCATTTATCAGAGCTATATATAGTCTTCAATTAATAACAAACAGTCTAACAAAAATTCTATAATTTAAAACGTCAATGTACAATTCTATTCATTTACCAAAAGATCATATATAATACTCAGGTTTTACACAATAATCATATGAAATGTATCCTGCCCTGAGTACAAAAGAATGACTATAACTAAAAAGAACAAAAACCTAAAAATCCCTGATCAACCTCAATCTCCTGCTCCCTTGCCCTGCCCTGAAAATATTAACCACATATAATGAGCTTCAAAAAGCCCAGCAGGTCACCTAATACCTACAACTGAAATAAAAGCACGGTACTGAAACAATATGCATGTCAATCAATCAAATCCATAACAGTTACTTGTACATGATCATTGAATATATGCAGATACGAAAAATCAATAGTCAATGCATGATCGATACAATTCACAATCATCGATAAAAGAATCGATAAACAATAGGAAGAAATCCATAAAGCTCAATAAATCAGTACATACGTCAAATCTCAGAAGAATCCATAAATAGTAGAAAAATCTATATTCGGAAGAATCTCAGTTAAATCGATCAGTCAAATCGATAGAGAAAAAAAATTGTCGTCTCGATAATATCAATTACATCAACATCGTAACAATGGAATCAATCAAATCAATCACCTTTGGTCAATAACATCAATCGGTATGAAATCATATAAAACAATCAAACCAATACAACGTAAGAACGGTTGAAATCAAATCAATACAATAAAACCTATTCCATATTGATTAATGAATCACATGCAGCAGTTCAATACGATGTATCAATGAAGCGATAGTATCAATGAATCAATATCAATGAATCAATATTATCCATGTCCATAGTATCAATGAATCACTACAACATCAATATCCATATCAATATCAATATCTATGTACAGTGACACGTACAATATGCAGCATCAATGAATCGACAATATCAGTAAACCCATAAATCCATCAGTAAATCCATTCGTCATGAAATAAATCCAATACATTAAATCCATAAATATCAAGAAATCTATAAATTCATTCAAAATCAATAAAGCC